CAAGCATTTACCCTGCTGTAGTGCAGCAAGCCTTTGTCCCAGCTCCAGGAGAACTTTCTGTACCAAGTGAAAAGAGAATTACCCCACAGAGCTCACTAAAGTGTTGTTATTATACACATTGGCCGCTCTTCCTAAATACCGTCTTGTAATCTTGTGGCAGGTTGTTAGACGCATCTCCGAAACCCAACGTGGCAACGCATAGTTTGTCCTCTCCTTACAGTTTCACTTCTTAATGTCTTTCTTACTTCCAAGGCTGCAGATGGTTGGCAAACAAAGACGTTAAACTAGATCCTGCCAGCCCCTTCTCCCACTCGACCCTTTCCTCACAATATCACTGTCTCAGGCTGCAGACTGTTCCTCAGTATAGCTGCCTCCAGGCAAATCAGCCTTGATGCATTATAATTTATAAAATACATGAGGTTGGCTGCCAAATGAGTGTGTATGGTCTTTTCAAAGCTTAGGTTACTTTCTACCATAGGAATGCTGCCAACAAGATCCATAGGCAGATGGTAAAGATTTAGACCTATTGTCTATCCCTTGGCAATATGTGTGCTAGACATTAATAAACTGTAAACACATGTGTTTGTAGCGGCGTCTGAGACTAAAGCTCGAGGCTCTTTATCAGATGGGCAGAAATGTGTGGTTTTTTAAAAAATAAGAACTTGTTCTCCTGACTTTTTCTTCAGGCTTGTTTAAAGGTCAGTAGAACTAGAGCCAAATACTTTTTTGCTCCGATGAACATAATTTTCCCAACTTGGGATTTTTCTCCTGTAGCCTTGGCTCCGTCTTCAGTGAGCCCCTCGCTGGGGCTCCGGACTGCAGCCAGGATCCAGGCAGATGCGAAACTTGTTTGTGAGCCTGCTAGATAACGTTTTACGTGGTCACAACATGATGAGCGTCGTTTATGGTTCCCTCAGCCGAAGCAAAGTCACAAGTCACCATCAGTCTATTCCATCACTACTTTCAAAAGCGAGTGAGCCAGTGTCGCAGGAAGGGACTGCATTTGTGCATTTTCCACACACCATTTTGACTCTGTGCACTCGTATCATGTGCACGCACTTGGTGGTTATGTGCACTGGTTTTAAGATGTATAAAATGCCACACACTGGTAAGCGCAGGATGCATGTGTAAAGTGACGTTTAGACTTGAAAGAATCCATGTATCCGTGACTGTCTTCTAAAAGTAAAGTGGTCTATAGGTGACTGATTTCAAAAGCAAACTACTATACCAAAATAGTAACTCTTGATCCCTGACTCTTTTCATTCCTTTCGTCCTGTGAGCGCTCAGCAGGCTCATAGCGGATCTCTCGTCTACCCTGAAGTGAAATGAACTCCCCAGGCTGAAGGTGTCTCACAGCCATGCGTCCTTCCATCACTCTTACATAACACATGATGGATTACAGGCCGGTGGAGAACAGGAGGAGAAGCCAATTTAACACACATGCCTTCTCACACAATAAAGACTGTGGTGTTCATGTAAAAGGTGCTGTCAGTGAGATAACAGATGGTTGCCACATCACATTAACGCTTTTCAAAAGACACCACTGTTGCTAGATAAATATTTAGTTGTCAAGTGTCTCCCAGAAACAATGCAAGGTTGTTTGACGTGTTTTCTGACTCCTGGTTCTTTTAGCCTCAGTCAAAGTCAGTTTCCTTCGGGACATTCATTGTGTGTGTACTGTATGCACTACTCTAATGTTTTGAATTACTGGATACAAAAAAAAGGGTAGTTCTTTCTGAGTGCATTGAGGTTTTCTGACAGTATATCATTTCATAGGACTCAGCGTTGCTTTGTTCAGACTCTCAGTAATTGTAAAGTGTCATGTCAGCCCTCCCAAAGAGTGGAAAAGCAGGGCTTGAAGAACCAGTGAACCCCGGTGCGGCCGTCTTTCATTAGGCCTTCCCTCTTTGTGCTTTTCACGTCGTCAACCCAGTTTATATGCCAGGCTGGAGATTTTGGAGAGAAATGCAGGCCTTGTTAAGGGAGACCAGTAGTTTGCCAAGTCTTCGCCTGCCTTCTGAACATTCAGGCATTCAACGGAAAACTTGATGAGCAAATTTAAAATAACAAGGAAAAATAGTTTCCATGTTTTTGAAACATAAAAAGGAGTGTGTGTGCACCACGTCACTTTCAAGGAAGATATTACCAACTGCTCATCATACTCTGCAAAGGTTGCCTTTGTGTGTTTATGTCGACTTGGGCACTTGCATGCTGTTGGATGCTTCTTACTGTAACGTCTCCCAACGATCATCATCTGTGGGTCCTGTGCTTTTAGCAACAAATAGCTGTATCAAAGTGTTTGCAGCTGCTTTTTGGAAGCAGTTGTTTGTTATTCTGTCCTGATGAACAGGTGTTTCCCTGATACCACACACACACATACTTCTTAGAGGCATAAAATGCTTAAAAAAGCAGAAGAGATCCAATTTATAACATAGACAATCATACAGAAGGATCTGTACTGGATACTTGTTAACCGACTATCTGTTACTGCCAACTGTAAATGTTTTGTCCAAACTTCTTACAGTTTGCAGAATTGTTGCGTTTTGTGAAAAGGTTTTACGTATTATGGTTATCGTCAATACAGGCCTGTAGTAATATGTTTTCCTCGTCTAGGTAATCGCACCTAAGCCTTGCACTCGGGTGAAACACAGCAGAAGATATTAATGACTGCGTGAGGTTTTAGCAGAAGTGAAAGCTGTGAATGAAAAACAAACACTGAGAGACTTTAAAAGTGAATCTGGAACAGTGGATCTTATTTGTGTTGTTCTATCTGTACTGATGACGCTTGTCCCTGTGTCTTCAGGTCAGATGTATCAGCAGTACCAGGCTCCAGGTGGATACCCCCCCCAGCAGCCCGCTGCCCCGCCCCAGCAGCCGCAGCAGCAGTACGGTATGCAGTACTCTGGTAAGAGCAGAAATGGTCAGGATGTTACAAGAAGAAAAGTAGCTGCTGAGTTCTAGAGCAATGGGGATGTCTTTATTCTGGAGTGAATTAAAAAGACTCTCCCTCCCTCTCTCTGCAGGATACAGCACTCAGCCCGGAGCCCCTCAGCCCGCCCCCCCCCAGCCCCAGCAGCCTCAGCAGCCTCAGCAGCCCCAGCAGCCCCAGCAGCAGTTTCAGAACTACCCCCCTCCCTCCTCCCAGGCCCCAGCCCCCGGTGCAGCTCCTGCTCCAGGCTTCCAGGGGGGCCAGCAGCAGCAGCAGCAGCAGCAGCCCCATCCCACTCAGGCAGCCCAGCAGTACCCCCCAGGAGCCTTCCCTCCCCAAAACTATACCTCCCAGGCCTCCCAGCCTGCCAACTACAGCCTGCCGCCCGGCTCCCAGCCCGCCGCAGGCTTCGCTCCCCGCCCAGGATACACCCCTCCCCCAGGCAGCACTGTCACCCCCCCACCCGGAGCCGGTAACCCGTACGCCCGCAACCGCCCCCCGTACGGCCAGGGCTACACCCAGCCTGGCCCTGGGTACCGGTAAAAGAGGATAGCTGATGATCCTCACACATCCCCCCCCCCCCCAACCCCCTCCCTCTATGTGTGGCTCCCTGTTTGGAGTGGGTGCAGGAAAACGCTGCTCTGCATCCCCTTCCCTACACAAATATCAAGTCCCAACATGAAACAAGCAACCCCCCCCCCCTCAGTCTGATGGTTAGTGTTCGTATGCTGTCTCTCCAACACCACACTCTGCCCTGGTGTCTGTTCCTTGTGTTACTCCTCGCCTCCTGTCACCACCACTGGCCCTCTTGTATCTGTCGATATGTAACGAGTCTGTATGCACACACCTGGGAGACCAAAGCAGGCTGTGGCACAATGTTCTGTACATGGTAATGCTTCATTTTGAGAGTGAGATCAGCGTCCACATTCTGCATCGGTGTCGTTCACGTCAATGCAGAATATCTCAACCCGGTCGAGTTTACTATGTATAGATGCATTTATATGACACAATCTAAATGAAAAGTTGCCCTTTTGTGGTTTGTTTTTGCTCTGTTTGTTGTTGTTTTTCTTGATCTGATCAACTTCACCACCATGTCGGTATTAATGATGTGTTATTGAAACTGCCCCATGTTGGGAACACTAGCTAGGTGATGGCTTATGGGAGGTGTAGATCCCAGTGTCATGAAGAAGGCTTCTTTCATTTAGTTAATTATATATCATCTCCAGTAAGGCTTGCTATTCCTCTTTTTCTCTTTATCACTGGTTTTTACTAATAAATCAAGTTCCACCCTCGAGTGAGATTAGTTGTTTATGTATAAAATGTAACATTTTTTTTCTTGAACCTAATAAATGATTGCGACCCAGTTTAATCTCTTTGTTTTGATATTGTGTTGCTGTTGGCCGGGACGTTGTCTTTCTGTCTTTCTCTTAACACTCTCCCCACTTTGTGGTTTCTGAGTTCATGTCTCTGTTAAGTTTGGCTTCTCTTCGTCTTCTCCCCCACCCAGATTTGGAAAAGTGTAGTTATGCTGGTTTTCCTATTCAGTTTTCCTGCCTGTGGGTTGTGGTTGGCTGGGACTTATGGCATGGGAGTATGCGGTTGATACTTCATGTCAAACTGTCTCTCTGAGTCGGAGGAATTGAGCACATAGGGTTTATTAAACATAATTTACGAGAAGTGTGTTTAGCATTGCTCTTCACCTCGTCTATGCCAAACCAAAATCACTCTGTTTACATGAAAATAGCAATATTGGTGTAGTTAGCACGTTGTTATGGATGTATTACTCATGGTTGGATAATATCTACCTGTGGAGTTTAATCCTTATTTCATCCATATGTGTTTGATCCGATTAAGATCAAAATCCAAGCACACATGTGGAGCCAATGAATCGCCCCCTATAAGGAGACGTTTGATGTTTCTTTGGAGAAGCTTTCCTGCTTCGGAGAAGACGGAGATCGCATATCGAAAATCTCTTCCGACTCTTGGCATAGAAAGAGAACAACTGCGACACTTCCCAAAATGTCTTGCGTAAGCTTCACCAGTAAAGTCATTGAAGTCAAGCAGAAATGAATATCAGTAAATATAAAAACAAGATTTATTGCTGAAAACAAACAAACATTCATTGGGCATCAAAAACAAAGGCAGTCGTGACAGATGTGGAAACAAACTGACACTTTCTCTCCAATGATTCATAGCTTTATGTACACTTCGTAAGTTTGAAAACATAAATTATGAAATGTACTTTTGTTTCCACGTTGAAGTTCAGTTTATTATTTATATATGTTATTTTATAAAATAAAGGACAAGACTCGGCATCAAAACTACATAAATCTTTCCAAGTGAGTCCATAGTAACGCTGGGTTCGAGCTACATTAGCTTTCTAAAAATACAATTTGGCTAGGAGCAGTCTTTTACCTGAAATGTATCAAACTAAAGGATCCCTGGTATACATACTGTATTTCACACCATATACATATATAACAAAAGGTTTAATACTGTGCAAACTGCAACTGCTAATAATCCCTTAGGGCCAGCAGAAGGTCCATTCTGCATGTCTGTGTGTACTTGTATTTTACAAAGTCCAAATGTACAATGAAAGCATGATTGGTACCGTGCTGTCTACATATAACACAATGTGTGTGCTCACTGACATGCAAGTATTTGGAACAATTTGTACTTCCTCATTTCAAAAGCCCGAGCACACACAGAATATTCAATAACGATCCCCTTTTGATAAATAATATCATACAAGTTATAACACTTTGGGAGCCAGCTTCCAACCATTTTCTCTGTAATTATTGTATATTCAACATTTTGGTTCACTCAAACACCTGCATTTGTTTGCTGAATGCATTTTTGATAAATAGAGAAATTAAGACAAATGTTACAAATGCACTCGGAAGAGTTTTGTGACACCTAAGAGTCGTGTACAGGTTCAACCCTTTGAGAAAGGAGCTCAAACAGACAGACCCATCTACAGTGTCCATGGTAACATGACAGAAAGGCCCACCTCCCTTCAGGGTAAGGCAGGCGTCTCCTTCTTCCTACTTTCCAATAAAGGAATCCTTCCTGGAAACCGCTGTGGGGTTTTTACCACTTCCCAGGGATGGGTGTGCCACACTCGTACCAGCCTACGTAAGTAACATGTGACTTTCCTCCAATCTCTCCAAAGTGGACGGGCTCCTGTCTCACCGCTCTGTAAAACCCTGGGACAAAGACACAGAAGAGAGTGTAAGAGTCTACGTATTGTAATACTTTAAATGATTGGTTAATGGTGATGGCTATAACTAACATACCTTGTCTGCTTGGTAGCTGGTCAGCAAACATCTGGGTGCCGGTACGTCCGTCCAGGAAGGAGTCCACAAACTGACAATGGTCCTCCCCGTGTCCCGTCTGATCTCCAATGTTGTAGAACTTCCCTAAAGAAAGAATAGAGGGAGAAGGTTCATAATTAGTTTCTAAATAGACCCTACCACATTATCTAAATCCAGGTTATTTTTCCTCTCGAAACTTAATGGGAATGGTTAAAGGAAATCAAAGGAAATCAAAAGGTCAGTTTTTTCCCTTTAACCTTTAGTGCTATTTTATAAATCTAATCCAATATTTCTTTCTATATTATGACATATTATACTATGATTTATTTCTACCGCTTTTTTTACAACTTATTTTGGCATACTTTACTATGACATTTTAATTATATATATTTTTTTAAGTACTATTATTATTTTTAAACATTTTTATTTTCATTTCATTTAATCGTTTATTTAGCAGGGACAATGCACATTAATGAACACTTAAAACAAAAAAATGCAAATAGTGTAAATATGCCGGATTTTAGCTTGGAGCTCATTTCCATCCGGCGTACTTTACTATATTTACACATTTTGTAAAGGATACTACGAGTTTTTATGATTGTTTTTATGACCAAAATGCTTTTTTATGCCATACTATACTATTATTATTTTTTAATAACAAATTATACTTCAACTTCTTTAAAAAAAAAAAGTTATAGTAAACTATATTATGAAAAAAGTCATAAACGGATAGCAGGTTGCCATAACAACTTCAAGAACAAATCAGAATATAGCATGCCATAAAAGGTCATTTAAATAAAGTAGTTGGCATCGTATAGTGGATTGTTGAAAATCATAAAAAGCTTCTTCTTAGTTCTTTAATGTTTCTGTAATTACCAGTGAGAGAGTCACTCATGTAGAGCTTGTATCTCAGCGAGTTGCAGAGCTGGATTCCCACAAACTTCCGGTACCAGGTCCTCTTCACGTACTGCTTTCCATTGCATTCAGAGTAGTCATCAGACTTAAATGGGAACTGAGTCCAGATTGCATCTTTGCCTGTGAAGAAATCATTAGAAGCGGAGTCTGAATATAGTCTACTGTATGAACAGGATTCAAAACAAGTGAAAGTTAAACATTTTAAAAAGCTTTATTTTTGCTGGAACACACTGATAAACTGAGTAAAACGATATTCACCTGAAGCATGTTCGCTCACTCGTGGGTCCGCTGCAAACGTGAGATTAAGTTGCAATGAAAAACGTCATCAAAACAACTTAGAGTAACCACACATTCATAAGATACCTTCAATCATTGAGCAAGACAAACACAGACTTGTATCAGGGCCAATTTGGCACAATATTTGAAATATCCACCCCCAACAGGCTGGGCTCTGATTGCTCGAGGGCAGGAGGCCAATTAGGCAAAGCTTCCCCTCTCAGTGTTGTCATTGGGATCTTAAAGAGGCCCTAATCCTTTTCTGGGTTTTCACTTTCCTGCAGGTTTTTGTTTTGTGCATGTCAATTATTTCTCTAGCCTCCCCCCCCCCCTGCCTGAAACGCCTCCATTTGACCCCTTTGTTTACATCCGTAACATAGTGACATCGCTAACACTCACGCTTCTATTGGCTAGAGCTCCAACAATGATAGGCTAAGGGGCGGGACATCTCTAAGCGGTTGACCAATCACAACAGAGCCGGTCAGCTAACCAATCAGAGCAGACCGGGCTCTGGTTTCAGACAGAGGGTGAAAAGAGGTGCTGCAGTATGAGAAAAATAAAGAGCTTTTTGAACATTAAAGCATGTTAACGTCCCATTAGAGGCACAAATACAAATATGAACCTGAAAAGGAGCATAATATGGCCCCTTTAAGGTGTGATTCTGATTTGAACAGGGTTACCTTACTAATGTTGTAAGGGTTATTAATAAAGTAATAAATAAAATATGAACCTGAAAATGTTCATAATGTTCTATAAAAACACAACATTTGATCAACAAGGCTCGAATTCAGCCTTTTTACCCAGGGGATGATATGCCTCTGTTAGAAATGAGACTCAGAAGACATCTGGTGAGCTGACAAACCCCTTGAGTCCTAATCAGTCAGACCCCAGTGCCATGTTGAAATCATTACACTAACCACTGCTTAATAGCCCACCTTCTGAGAATTAAAGCAATGCTAACAACAGCCTGATCATTAGAAGTGTATACAGTGGGATTAACATGCAACTAATTAGTGTCATCTGTCAGAGCAAACACATTCAGGTTTATCAGGAATTTCCTCTGTTAGGACTTTGGTTTATTTAAATTACATGGTTTGTGAAACTTGCCTGATTCTGTGCTAAACGTCACAGGATCACTGGAGGGTCCGGCTCCCAGCTCATTCTTTGGTGTTACTGTGAATTCATAACTGACACAAAATAGAACAGAAAAAGTGAATAAAAAGGTGTTATACAAACTTTGAGGAGTTATTCATCGTAAACCCTCCCAACCACACACACACACACACACACACACACACACACACACACACACACACACACACACACACACACACACACACACACACACACACACACACACACACACACACACACACACACACACACACACACACACACACACACACACACACACACACACACACACACACACACACACACACACACACACACACACACACACACACACACACACACACACACACACACACGGATCTGATGGCTATTCCATGTGCTGCATTCAGATGTCCTGGCAGTAGTCGGGCCAGCAGAACCCAGCCCAGGGCCGGGTTCTGTTGAGTTTTGAGACTCCAGATGCGCGGAGATTTAATTAAAAACAGTCTGAACCTTTCCACCCAGATTTTGTGTCGCAGCAAGACGTACAAGTAAATCAGAACATACCTTTATAAGTAGCACACCAATATCCTGTCACTGCCATTCAATACTCCTCTCTTTATGAGATCTACAGTGAACCCTACTAATGTAATCAGCCAGCAAGCACTTCAAGCAGGAGCCCCGTGGAGTTATTTAAAAGAACAATGTCATATAAACTCTTAGTCTTACTCTACTTACATAATGAATGCATTGCCTTCAATAACTCTTCATAAAACAATTGCAAAGTCCACTTTTCTTTACATTTTGAAACATGCACATTCAAGATTACTTGCAGAAGACGTCTTCACTGCCTTTTCTTGACATGTTACCATCAACTGGTGAAAAGTGGAAGAGTGGGACACTATTGACATCTGTACGAAGACCCACTCAAAGACAAGCTGCTCTTTACTACTAGAGGTGACAGAAAACCAACCTCCAGAGAGTACCTTCAAGCAAGGTTTATATGGACAACCCTTATTGTAATGTAAACATGGTTAGTTGTTCCTAAACTATACATAGTAAAATACCTGAACAATGGAACCATTAAAGGGAAAATATGGATGGTAGGGTGTTTGTCTGGCATAATATGGTACATATACATACCTGCTCTCTGGTTTGAGATTCTCCACGGCTGTGTGTGTCTGGTTGGTCGTCAGGACGGACACCTCCTCTCCATTTGGTCCTTTAGTGGTGGATACAACCTCATACTCTGAGAAAGAAAGCAGGAATCTTTTAACAGGTACACATTCTACACATTAAACGCATTGCAAGTTCACATTTCAAAAGGTAAAATAAATTAATGTTGAGATATTTTTGATGAGAGTGGTGTAAGAAGGATATGATATTTTGAGTTCATTTTGGGGAAAGGCCTCCGAAGCAATCACAACATAATGAACCTGTAAAGGTTTTTTAGTAGGATGAACACCACCAAAGGAAACTCAAACACTGTCGGTATAAATGTGTTATTGTTAATCTATAAAAATTATAATAACCATAAGTGTCAACCTAGTTAAAACCATTATTTAAAACCTTTCAATCCTATCCGCCAGTTACATCCATACACCATCATGAATGAGGACACAGCTTGATTGAGTTGAGATGGAGTTATTTTCCATTCAGTGCTCATTTCCAAAACAAATCTTCCAGCCAAGTCAAAGAGGGTCCAAGCACATTGGTTCAATTCTGACCTGAACGCTCACCGACCCAAAGTGTCTATGAAGCCACTAGCTTTGCTGAATACGGGCAGTTCCATCCCATATCTTTGAAAATGTCAACTTTACGTTTGTATCTACTGTACCTCTGGTTTCATTATCAGTTTTCTGCCAGTCAAGAATGACGAAGGACGGGCAGCCCTCCACAGTGACCACAGTGAGGTTGGTGGGGGGGACGCGGGGAGGACCAGTCACATTCTGATCCCCACCCTCCTCATCAGCGAAGAAACTGAGGGAGGAGGTGATGGAGCACGGCTCGTCTGGCTTCTTATCCGTCTTGTAGATCACATGGGGACCTATAGATAGATAGTTAGAAAAATAATGTATGCATGTTACCTGTTCCACTCTTTAGGTTGACATGTATTAGTACTGAGTGAGAGGATTTCAAAGATTAAGCTTTTTAAAACCACAGGGGAGACGTAAAACAACAAGATGGATGCTCACCTACAAAGCGCGTCTTGCCCATGATGTCTACGTCTGACACAGGAGAATGGCTGAATACGGAGGAGTTGTCATTTATGTCAAAACGGCTTGCTGAAAAGGAAACAGGAGAGAGGGGTTGGGGATTGTTTGATGTGCCAGCAGTCCCTGGTTTGGCAGCTCTGGTCCAGGTCAGCCGCCGGCCAGCCCAGCACCTGCTCTTTGTCTGCCTCTTGATATTCAAAACGTTTTAATTTCTTTCTTTTTTTTTACCTTACTACAGTACGATACACACCTGCAATCAAGATGATTATTATCACATGCATGCATTCACTCAAAGTCATATCACTTTTTCAATCATAGAGGAAGTCGATTTGTTCATACAGCTACGAAAGCTTTTATGAAATTGAGACATATCATTCCTCTAAGATGCATTGAGTGTTTTGTTTCTCGTACTGTTTAGTGCCGGGGCCGAGCTGGTCATTTGCTGCTGTCTGCGCTCTTGCTTGGGCTTGGCTGTGACCAGAGGAAATGGCTTCAAGATGGATACCTTGCCTCCTTGTTTCAAATCCATGGGTTTATCTGAGGATAGGGAGCAGCAGGAGAAGGAGAAGCGATCAGTTCTTCACACTCATCCTCTGACTCATAGTAACACACAGTTGTGATCCATCTGCTCTGGCCATCTTCACCGAGCAACCCAGTGGCCTTTTCCTGGCGTCTGAGGATCAGAGATTGCTTGTTGTGTAATCTCTCTTGTGCACATTAAAGGGGAAAAAGGTCTGCCAGAATACATCTGCGAAAGACAAAGATGCCCAGATGCTCAGGACCATGCACACAGAGGCCTTGTGTATATCAGTGCACTTGTGTGAAGACAGAGAGATATAAACAAGTGATAAAGATGAGATGAAATGTTAAGAGGAATGCTGTTTTGTTCATTAGTAAACCCTACAAGCCATTTTTTGAAGTTGTAAGCACTTTTATAATTGCAGAAGACAGCCTGAGCCAGTGGTTCTCAAACTATAACGATGGGCGTGGAGGCCTCGCAGCGAGACTTACTTGACCTTGTGGAAAAATGTGCAGTGGAACTAAAGTTGAATAAATTGGATTCATGTGTGACTAATAAACAAACAAGAATGCTTTCACGCTAGTTGGGCTATAAAGGGTGTAGAGAGCATTGTTCAAAACAACAAAACATGTACAATTATGGTTGGACAGATTTTTAGAAAGGAAGAAAGGGAAAATAATTGATGCTCATTGACCTATCATGTCAAAAGAAGTCAAATCATCACAAAAATATGTATTTAAATTCAGGCTCACTGTCAATGTAGCAAGTCTTTTGTCTTTTATGTGTTCAGCCTCTGGCAGTTTGGATGAAGTTTAGAGGAAACGTTTATTCTCTTTCTTGTAAATAAATAAATATATAGTCAGTTTAAACAGACAGCCTTAAGACTGGAAACAGCCTGGCTCTGTCCAAATGTAACACAATCATTCTACCAGCACAATAAAGCTAACAGGTTATTTCACATTTAATCCGCATAATAAGGTGTGAAAAACTACACATTTTCAGAATGATCGTTACAAATTCAATTGCTTTTGAGAGGGCCTGGATTCATGATACAACTGAATGATGACATGAAGGAAAAGTTTGACAACCACTGGCTTAAGAAGCAGAAGTTAAGCCTTCCCCTTGCTGTTGTGTGCATGATGACAGTATACAGGACAAGGTGCAGCAGGGTTGGGTGCAGCATCACTGTTGCCCTCACCATTGTCACTAGGTTTCCCCACCAGGTTGGGTTTCTTGTTGAAAGGGATAGGACGCAGGACTGTAGGGACTTGTGGGGAAAACAAAAGTCCATTTTAGATTAGGAATCAAATAAAAACAGAACAGGTGTTGGGCCCTGAAGAAGAGATACAAAACTGTAAACAAGATGGTTATTTTAATAGTGCAACAACGATGAAAGAATGTGAAGTTTATAGATTCAGAAAGAGAGAGACATTAAGTAGGTCAGAGGACTGCAGTAATACTGTGTGCTGAAAAATGAGTGTGCAAACATATGACATAATATACAAGCAACAATAAAGCACATAAAAGCCAAGCAGATTGCATGTAAAACGCTGAAAAGTCACGTTGCAGCCACATTTGACTAATGAAAAACATGTCCGTATTTAATAACTGAACAAAAGTCTTCAGAAGAATAACTGAGGAATTTAAAGATCCTTAGTGAATCCTAAACAGGAAAGTGAGGTAGCAGGTTCAACAACTTTGGACTCCCTTGTGTGAAAAATTATTTCAGATCAGATGCTGTTTGACCATCACATTTTCCACGAAATCCCTGCACCATGGAGAACACAATAAAATAAAGATTGCGCCAAGCTATGAGACGAAGACCAGATCAGTTGAACTGCTTTAATGAACCTGAGGAATACACTCTCTTGGCTGAACTGGATAAGTAATCACAAGGAGGCTTTGTAATGAAAACACCTTAGCTACGAAGTGTACATCTCAGATATCTTAACACTACGGCTGTAAAATGATTGAACGTTGTTAAACGAGAATAAGCCTCCCTGAACACTTGGTTTGATATCTTAGAAGTGTTGGTTAAGCTCCAGGAGGTTTGACACAAGTTGATCTCATTACAGGCTTCACATCCGATGTTGCTAAGAGATAATCCATTTCAACCGTTTCATTTCCAGAGAATCAACTCCCTTCGCCATTTGTCATTCTCTTATCTCAGAGATTCATTGCTAGTCAACAAGACTCTGTAATTGTCCAATTGTTAAGGCCAAAAACCTTAAAAACATTTATCTTGGCTTCGTTTTCCTCGGCATAAATCAGTGATCTCTGGCATCTACTCCCAAGAGAGAAGAGGTGAGGCTATCAAGACGAACTGTAACAACATCTGCCAACAAGTCTCACTGATTAACCGAAAATACATTCATGGGGGCCTCTGACTCACACATGGTATATCTGACAACTAATGGCAAACATATGCTCATACAGAAAGTCACACTATATGGTATTGCAATCATTTAAATGCCAGTCTCAAGATAAACAAAATAAAAAGACGGGGGTACGCGAAGAGAAGGACTGACAGCTCCGAAGATGTGATGTCATGGACAAGAAATGAGAACAAGGCCAACGTGATGTAATGTGATAAGACGTGATGTCAACACTATACATGTCAACAATGTGTCTACATCAATATATAACGATCTGGTCGGTGTTTCTACAGCGTGTGTGTTTGGTTTGCTGTCCTACAGTAAACCCCTGAAACAGCAGGCAGACTCTCTGAAGTGCCAAGCGCCTCAGACTCAGTTTTGTGAGGTAAAACAGAAGCAGTGGTGTGAGCGCTGGTTTCTCTCAGATAACTTCATCTTCAGGGCAGGAATGTGAAAATAGATGCAATCATAACACAAGGATTTACGTTCAATCCAGAAAAATATTCCCACTGAAACACATACCAGTGTCTCACATCCCTGTGGTTTGTTGCTTTTGCAACAAATGCTCAGATTTTATGGAGGGGATTCATGGATGGACACCGTCCATTACATACCTGGAGTCCACAATAAGCAGAGCTTTGAAAGAAATTCAAGTTGAAATGCCAATGTGAAACTGAGCTCCATAACCCTGTCAAGGACACGCTAATCAATCTATCGTTTGAGTAAAATAAAAAGTTAGGAAGTGCTGAGAAAAATATCAAGTGTTGTAAGTAATTTACTGCATGGGCAGAAGAAGGTGAACAATGTGTAGGTTGCATCTCTATTTAGAAAGGTAGAAACTAGGAGCTTTATGTTTAAATGCTTGTGCAGTGTGGCAAGCAACATTATTTTCTGTAGAGCTGCTTCCAGAGAGCCATGTGACTTCTTGAAGAACTCTGAAACTGTCAACGTTTCCAGAAATAACACACACCAGCTGGGACATGGGACTGAAGCACAACCCCTTTTCACAACTCCAAATTACAAGGAGTGGGTGAAGCATCACCATTAATACATGTGGTCCAGACATGGTTTGCATTTGTACTTGAGATGGATTCAATTACTCTAATTAACTGAGCCTGCCTGGCAGGAATGGAAACAATGTGATTGACCCAAAAAAAAGGACAAACCACAATCACCTTTCACAACAAGCAGGCTAAAGCTATTCTCAAACAAATTCAGACCGGTTCCTGATTACAGGTCCATATGTGCAGTAGACTAAACAATGTGGAAAGGTATATGCCAAAGGTATATGCCAAAATGTGTTAAGGCTTCAGTCTCAGTCAAGTTAAAGCTACTGGGACAATCGGACAACACAGATCGCAACCAGACACAAAACGTCACGCTGACAGACAAATGAAAATCACAAAGCATGAATGGATTGTGACAAAAGCGCAGATCGGTGTGACTGCTTGGGACGGGACATAGCAGTGCCTCTTAGGTTAGTGAGTGAGGAACGCTGAGAGGTGATTATCTCGGTTTGTCTTTACCAGTTTTCTCTTTGGGCCACACCACATGTTTAGGATAAGCAATTCCCCTATGACGCGCCCCACCGGTTGCTAGAGGGAGAAAAAGGTTAGTTTTAAAATGTTGTGTGGCACTGAGACAAATAAATACTAAATAGGAAGAAAGTCAGAAGGAAAAATGCCTTTCTTATCATCCATTTTCTTACTTGTGTGAGTGAAAATGATATTAGATATGTGTGAGTGTCTTCAACCTGGTTTTACAGATGTTCTGGATATACAAATAGAATTGCCACGACTAAAAATCATTAATTTTATCCGTTGACAGTTCTCACTTTATTCTTCTATTGCTCTTTGGGGAGATAGGGAATGTGTTTGAGAAAGGAAGAGATACAGAAAGAGTGAAAGGAAATATAAGAGACTGGCTGTGGCAGCTGCGCTGTCTGCACAATGCTTGGCTTGGCATGGTGGGTATAAAATGTGGTGTGTCCTGGCCAGAGCTGTGGCCAGATTTCCCAACCGGCCAGCAAGAGGGACTGTAAATCATGTTAACGATCCTGACCCTAGAGACACACAGTGCTGCTCTTGGTAAAACTGTGAAATACACACATCGAACACATGTGGCAGAGCGTGGAGAAGAACATATGGACCATGAGAGAAGGTCAGGTAAAAGATGATGCTATGTCTATCAAGTGCTTAATCACGTGCCATGAGTTTTGTATGCCTTATTTTGTAAATGCATAGTTGCAAAGGAGAGTGTAAGAGAGTGCTGACAGGAGAGGATAACCTGAGGTTGCTACTTGGGAAGAGGGAAAAAAGAAAGGGGAAGTGAGTACTCCATTACCCCCAGGTGTGCTGGAGCTGTGAGAGGAGGATGTCTTGGACGGAGTAAATGGCCTTCCACTAATACGAGGGGTTTGAGGAGGAACCCGGGTGCGTGTGGTGTTTCTTCCTGCTTGGGGAACAGATGAGCTAATGGGAGAACGAGGAACTGCAACAATGGACGGCTTGAGGACTCCAGTACCTAGATGAGCAGAAAAGCAATTTGGGAGGTTAGGGATGATTCCACTTGCAACAGCTTGAGCGCTTTACCTGGATGGAATAAATGAGAGTGAAAGAGACTGTAGAAGAGTGGACAATGGATGAAATGAAAGAGAAGGCATAGATGAGATCGAAAAGCCAGGCAAACTGCTTGGTTGTGAATGGGGCAGGAGTGAGGTGAGGGTGCTAGGCTGAAAATGGAGGTACACATTCAGGCTGGGGTAATGACGTGGTGGGGTGTGTAGGGTGGTAGGATGGAGATGAAGATGGGAATGCAGTTATATCATCCAATGGTTTGAGGTATAACTGAAAGCATTGGGTTCCACGTGACTTGACGAAAGCAGAGATGGTAATGGGACAAACTTTGCACGGCGTTTACCCTGATTGTAACTACCAGCATTCTCTGTAGCCAGGGCAGGTCTTGGCAGAGGCTTGCCCTCTTCTGGTGGACTAGGAGCTGTATGGAAGAAAACTCACTATTTATCTAAGAAAATACCAAATATATTTTTGATTTTTAAAGGGGGCATAATGGAGGTAATGGATTAGGAGAATATAGTTGGTTTAAAATAGGGTATTTGTTCCGATCAGGATATCCATGAAGAGAAAACGCTTTTGTGTAGTCTGACAAAGCTGAACTCTGACTGGAGGACCAATTAAAATGGCAGGTTTATATGTACTCTCATTTTGGTTTACCAAAGGAGAAAATCATGGTTAAGAGGAGTCCAACATTTCTAGATTGTTTGGTGGAGGATATATTTGAAGAAGCTCATCACCTACAAATGTAGAGAATTGACCATATCTATCAACATTTGAATCCTTATGCCCCCTTTAAAATGTTATTTTAGAAAAGGTCTTAAAACTTGATTGTGTGGATTAATGATGGCAAAAAAAAGGGTCTTTACCCGTAGAGACTGCCTGCCTTGGGGTGACCTTGGTGGGATCAGAGTAGGTCCTGGTCTGAAAAGGAATCCCAGGTTGAGGTTGTGGCTTGGGTGGAGAGGGCTTTGGTTGGGCCTGGATCTTTTTTGGAGGTTGTGCTTGGGACCTTGGCTGAGTCTCACGGGGAGGTTCTTGTCGGTTTCCTGTTCGGGGCTTTTTTTTTTTAGGTGATGGTTGGGGCTTGGGTTGACCCTTTGGTCGAGTCTGTGATTTGGGATTGGATTGTACAAAAATGGTCTTTGGTTTAGTTGTTGGTTTGGCCTCAGTCAGAGGTTCTTGTCGGTTTCCTGTTCTGGGCTTTTTTTCAAGCTTTTTTCTTTTTATTTTAGGTGATGGTTGGGGCTTGGGTTGACCCTTTGGTCGAGTCTGTGATTTGGGATTGGATTGTACAAAAATGGTCGTTGGTTTAGTTGTTGGTTTGGCCTCAGTCTGCTGCTTTGTGGTTAGTTGAGGTTCAGGGTTAGTTTTGATTACAGGTTGTGTTTGTGGTTGAGGATGTGCCACAGGTGTGGGCTGGGGAAGTGTGAGAACTTGAGGCTGGGTTTGGCTCTTTTCCTGGGGTTGTGTTTGAGGTTGGGCCTGGAGTTTGGGCTGCAGTGTTGGTTTAGGTTGTGGTTCAACCTGAAGATGTGGTGTGGTTTGAGGCTGTGATTGGGGATGCTGCTTTGGCCAAGATTCCGACTGAGGTTGTGTTTGGATTTTTGGCTGGTATGTTGATTGGGGTGGTGGTTGTGGTTGTGGTTGTGGTTGTGGTTGTGGTTGGTTCTGGAGGAAGGGCAGGGATGTTTGTTTGGGTTGTGGTTGAGGCTCAGCTTTCACCCATGGCTTTAGTTGAGGGATTTGGGTTTGGGGATATGGTTTTGGTTGTGGCTGATACTGTGGATGGAGCTGGGGTTTTGGTGGGGGTTGTGCATGAGGTTGGGATTGGGGTCTCTGTTGTGGTTGTTGGCTGTTGTGCTCTACGTGCTTATTTATATTTTTCTGGAGGGCTGTTACAGCTGCAACGGTGGTTGTAATATGTGGTGGAGGATGGGGCTTGGGAGGTAAAGGGGCCTCCATGAAGGGAGGCAAGACAGATCTGGAAAGGTCTCTTCCTCCTAGATTTTGTAAGAAAGAGAAAATATGGCCATGAAGCCACAATACTGTGCTGTAAAATATAATTTCAAAATATTTTATATTCTGACACAATGAAATAAAAAATAAATTAGATTTTACTGTCTAGAAAATTATGAAAGCAAGACATAAAGACGTTTCGGGAACAGCTGACATTTAGATCAGCAGAAGTACCAACAGCTACTGGCCTGAGAACTCACAGAGCTTATCTTGGACTTAGGTACAGGTTACACAATAACTTCTACCTGGCACATGTCTTGTGGAATTTCAAAGGCAAAGAGACCATATGAGGTATTCGCAAATTAACAACCGTGTTACTACCTACAGGCCTAGCTAGCAGGGCCAGGACGCCTGTGAGCAATGGCCATCCAAATCCATTGGCTGTGGTCTAAGACACATGAGGTTTTAATAGTCGCTGAGTGATTGCTTGCTGAGGGATTTTGATGGACCAGTCTAAATTGATTGTTCAATCTGATCAGATGTTCACCTCAGGGATAGAGAATAACGGGGAAAAAGAGAAGAATTCAGAAAATGTGAGAGAAAGAGAGAAAAACAATTGGAAAGCAAAGAAACCAATAGATAACATGAGATGCTAGGTCTGTAGTGCCTCTACTCAACTTTATGACCATGTAATGCTTTTGGAGTTGTTGGCAAATGTACTGGGATTAACCAACCAACCAAGAACAGCCAAATGATTCTTTCCTGTCTGTAATTGCTAAAAATAAATGGAAACTATAACCATGTCTAAATACTGACTGGTTCCTCTAAATCAGGGGTCGGCAACCTTTTTGATATGAAGTGCCATTCTAAAAACATTTTTTTATCAGCGTGCCGACGATCGTGAATTATCAAGGGGGGGGGGGGGGGGGGGGGTTGAAGAGCTCGACGAAAACACTCGTGAAAAGTGATGTTTAAAACTCAGTTAATGGGGCTCATTCACTGGCGCTTCCACAAACAACAACCAAGATAATTGTTACATTCAAATGAAGTAGCCTACATTATTCAAGTTTACATTAACTTTGGATAATAACACGGGAGAAATTAGCGGAAGCGCTCTCTTTTCCTCTCTCCCCCTCTCTCCCCCTCTATCTCTCTCCTGACAGCCTGTCAGTATCTCATGCAGCTCACTGATCCAGTAATGAGTGACAGTGAAGAATACATATATTTATAACTAGTTCCAAAGGTAGATAAAATAGCTAAGTGTGTTAGGTCTAACTCTTGTGTGTGTTGCTCCGCTCACCGGTCCGTCACAGCGGGTGGAGCTGCAGGATTTCTGCTTCACACACGTTGCACCGCTATTTTATTGTCATTTTCGGACACCTTAAAATACTGCCAGACTGGTGAAGCGATTTTGGCGAGCTTGTTTTGCCGCACACAGAGAAAAGTGTCATGTATGTTACGTCTCGCGATCGGCCTTTTTAGAGAGCACCGATCGATCGGCAGAGTGAGTATCGGCCGATATCGATCGCCACGCAAAAACTGCGGCATTTTTACAGCTCCTTAATGCAATTTGTGAAGTGCTTTCCTCTGTGGTGAAACTATCAGCACTGCATTACGGAGGAAAGCGGCAGAAAGTCGCCTGGAGTTAAAGAGAGTGGGGCTGCGTTGCGTGCATGGCTTCCTTCTGCAGGTAACGGGGAGACGCGCTCTGGCGGCGGTCTCGTTCAGGATCCGAAAATAAAATAAATATTTTGTACACTTATTCCACTTATTCCTAGTGTGCCACTGGTTACGGTGCCGCATGCCATTGGTGGCACGCGTGCCAGGGGTTGCCGACCCCTGCTCTAAATTAACCAATGAATGCTACATTGACAAACTGATTGGTGCAAAATTAATTATGGAATAATGAGGGTTGCATCCTTCATTTATCCTTTTTCAAATTCAGGCTGCATATAAAAGGAGCTTTTGTAATCAAACTGGTGTATTTGGTCATATTTAGATGTATGCAGGCCCTGAATTTAAATGAGCTCTATTTAAGATCTTTATTCAATAAGAACTAGGATTTACAGTAGATTAAACATAATACAAGATAAGTAGAAAAGGACATAGTATGACAGTGTAACACAAGAAAAAGAGAAAGGTTCAATTCTGCTCGAGTTCCTGTGGGAGAGAGAGTATTTCTGGTGCATGCAGTTACGTCATGCAGACTTCACATCACCTGCACTGCATTGAAAGCAAAAGCCTTAGGTTATTTATAATTTCATATTAACTTACATAATGGTAAAGATATAAGAAACAGAGAGAATAAGGAAGTGATCTGATGCGCATGGTTTGGGTTCTGAGATCAAATCGGGTTGTTTATATTGTTTAAATCAGTGACTGTAACAATTGAACCTATAAACCATTATTGGGAATTCCTGCAAGCTTTGTTGTTTTGCTAAAATGCCATGCAGCCAAGGCCACCTACCTTACACTCTTGGCAACTCAACCAGCTGACTCCATCGGTTTCCATGGGGGGGCTTTAGCTGTACTGTACTCACTCAGAGCATGCTACCCTTACTCATGCAGCTCAAACAAAGGACATCGTTTAGCATTATCAGCCTCCCAATTTCAGTCCGCCAAGTCTATGACTGCATACAGCCTAAATGAGAGCTTCAAGCTTTTTTTAAATGAACCATGATTCACAGTTTACCGATTGGCTTTTTGGTGACAACAGGCAGTGTGGGTCCAGGGGTCGACAGAGATTCCTTTTTAGTAGTTGTGGTGGGAGCTGAGAAATATAGTTTACGTTAGTGGACCTGTGAGAAAAGTTGTAACTTTATGTTCTGCAGAATATAAATAAAACTGGTGCATATTCATTAAACAATAAGCAGGATAGTGAGGGAGAAGTAAGGTTGAATGGTCAGACGTAAGGTCAAGAGTGTTTTTTCTGACCTTTAAACTCAGATTTAGGTCAGAAAAGTTATTACCAAGAGTTGTCTTTGAGTTTATTTTCCAGGTGACGGGCGGTCTGCCCTGGGTCCTGTTAGGATGAACTGATAATGACAAGGGAGGACAGATTTAAGTAAAGAAGTCACACATTAGACGTCCTCACAATCCTGAAAAAAATATGTAAAGGAATTATTAGTCTGAATTTGATGTCTTAGATTCTTTGGCCACATGGGGGCAGCAAAAACAAGCTGTAAACACAACATTAACATATTATCACATTTAAAGTTGATGAAGAGTCATGTCTCTTGAAAATTGGGAAATGTAAGTCAAATAATATTCCTTTTCATTGTGGTTCTGATTTTTTAGCTTAAAAAAAACTCTTAAGGCCAATTCCCGCTAAATATTTTTGCTATCTTCACAAGCTAGTTGCTAACGTTATCTGTCTACTGTTTGGGGCTGAGCAAGTAGTGTAAAACAATGGGTTTTCAGCTAAAACTGCTGCCTATTGTGGACAAAAATGCTACTGATGGGAACAGTTCAAATGAATTACACTGAGGTTAAAGATGCTAAAAATGTAAAGGTGAAGGGAAATGCATACTTGTTAATAATAATCACAAAAAAATGACCTCTTTCACATTACAGAGTTATTCAAACTATTGAATCCCATCATCAGGGACACAACATTGGTTAATGGGATATCTGCAACAAACCGGCTTAATAATAATTATTATTAACAAAAGTTAGACTGGATATGCAAAGGTCCTGTCTGAAAAGACGATAAATAAAAAGTTGTAGTTAAAATTCTTCCAGTGCTGGGATTTAAAGCATGGGTCGCTGAGAATGGCTGAAACAAACAATACTAAGCTGCAATAAATCACAGTGTGTTATAAAATTCTGCTTCTGCATAAAAAAGGGTTCAGTGGGTTTGACCAAAGCAGCATGTCTCTGTTGGCTTACCATGGCGTTGAGGAAAGGGGAAGCGTGGACCTGGCAGTAAAGGTTTCTGAAGGGTGACAGAAAAAAAGAGAAGGGAAATAATCGGTTATTAGTCTTTGTAATGACCACAACCAGTCAAAGTGTCAGCATACAAACTCAGTTCCTTCTCTTTCTCTGTGTTTTGCACTAGTTTTAGGCATTCTACTCCATGTCGAATTGGTAAAGTCCCTGGTGAGAAGCTTGTTATTTGAAGTTTCCCTCTGGAAGGGCAAGTGTTGTGGCTGATTCTCAACAGCTGGGATGTTTTACGAGTGCAGAGCCAGGAGCATGTGACACATCAGACCTCCACTGTCAGTAAATCAGTGCCACCTTTCCCCTCTCAACTCATTACCACATGGTTATCCTTCCTCCTATATCCTGCCTTCTCATCTCATTTTTTTATCCTTCTCAAAAGTTAGCTAGCTACAGACTGCTTCCTGGCTCGGCCGGTCCTGGCTACAGTCGGCTGTTTCCATTCAGCAGCTGGATGGAAAACTAATGAGGCAAACAACCCTGAGAATAGCATAAGCTGACTAAAGTGTACAACATGGACTCTAGAGAGTTTTGCCTGTTCCAAATAAACACTCTGTTCCCAAAATTATGTGAACTGTACCTGAGAAGTCTCAGCGCTCTCACATCACATATTCATACAACTCTACAACAAAACAGCTTGGTATTATTTGCGATTAGTTAAGAGTGTCCGATACATACCACAGGGTTGATGGGACGTTTAACGATGGTTTTCCTTGCCTTATCTAGAAACATGACACAAGATCAAATCAGTAAAGAAAAGTCAGTTCAGTGGAACTAATAGAAACTGAAGTAACAACACATTGCAAAACCATATGCCTCGCTCAAGATTCATTTAAACACAAAGCAGTTTTTGTTCTGTAAGATTGGTAAGTATCTAGTTATTTGCAATTCCCCCAAATGGGTACATTAACAGATTTATTCACAAAGAAATCATGACTATAAATAACATGAAGCCATACTTCTTGGAACTGTCAAAAGTAGCATGTGTTTATCTTAATTAAACATGAAAGAAAATCTAAAACATGTGCACAGATAAGCAGAAATGTTAGAAAGACAAATTCTGCACTAAAATAGCCAGAGTAACAATAACAAGACGTGACAATGATTAAATACCAGATAAGGTTTCGGACAACTACTTATTATACTAAACTATGTAATTATCCTCACTAACTTGATGGTCTGGGAAACACACACACATTCTGTCTTTGAACTACATTTATACATGTAATGATCTTTCACATAAATACATTTGCATGGATTTTGATGATTCTAATCAACATTACTTTTCAAAGAAACTTGGTTGATGAAATTGCCGTCGCAAGTACTACTGTTTTAGTTGGTGTGGGATGGACAATATTGTAAAAAAAACTGACATTAAAACATACCATCTGTGCCCCCTGAGCTGATGTTGTGAATGACCGGCTTGCTCCACACTCCGGTGACATCCTTAGCGTTGGGCTGGACACCGAACTCATAAGCCGTGTTTGGCTTCAGGTTGTCGATGACTGTGTCGCTAGTTGGGCAGGTCTGGTAGTTCCACTTCCTGTGTCTCTCACGATAACGCACGGTGTAGTGTCTGAGCCGAAGGCAGAACAGAAACAGAACATTTAAACAGTAAATCGTACGTCTAATAATAACCGATGATAAACATATCTAGAAGTACAAGAAGTACTTTAATGTCACCGTACAACTGCTGAGTATTTTCCGATACCATAAAAAAGTAATTCCAACAATGCTGACAATGATCTGAAACTGCTGGAGTTTGGTCTTATTTTATGCTCATTTTAGGAAAACTGTCTGAACTCCTTTTGAAATTATCCATCTCAAGTTTTTTCTAGTGTTGTTTAAAATTGCACATTCCAGCATGAACTGCAATGTCTGGATACAATGTTTTAATTATGTGGAAGAAAATTACTACTCTTTCCACAAAAGATCATATGCATTAATCTACTTGCTTTATTCAGAAATCACATATGAAACTAATAGTATAATTTAAAAAAGAATCTGTTCCAAAAGGCAAAGTTTGATTTCTTCTATCAAATGCTTCCAAAATGGAAGGAAAACTACGTTCAGATGTTGTGAGGGTTGTGGGACTCCTCTCCTAAACACGTGCGTGCACAGCGTGTTCTGGATCCACTGCTCAGTAACCTGAGAGACTCCAGGGAATCATTTACTGCTCATGCATTGATTCCAGACTCTCTGCAACAACTGCATGTGTGGGAAGAAGAGAGTGAGTTATCTGTTTCTATGCTTATTAAGATTACAATACAGCCAGTGTGCATGACATGAATAAGCTGAAAATCTCCATGATTTAGAGCGATTCTGTTTCAGCACACCTTTACACTGTACCATCCGTCTATCGTGGCTTTGCTCTGTGGCCGAGGTGTTTAGTACAATAGTAAAAGAAGTGTTAATTAATAATTTTCTTCATTAATCCAGTGCTATTATCTGTCCATACATGGAGACATTGCTAACATGAACTGTTAATAGCTAGTTTGGTATACTTTTAATAATGGCAAGTTGCCAAAATGTGAAAAATACAGAGGCTCAAGTCATCTTTGCAGTTGTCCCTTTCCTGACGTGTGTTACATAGGTTGTGCATGTTAATGGTCTGCAAAGGCTCAAGTCACAAAGTTCACTCCAGAGGGAGTTTCTCTCCCACACACTCTCCCCCCCCCCCCCTGTCTGAGACGCCTCCATTGGACTCCTTTGTTTACTTCTGTAACATAGTGACATCAGTACGTAACACTTATATTGCAACACATTGTACGTGATAGGCTAAGGTGCGGGACATATTGTTGTTGTTGACCAATAACAACAGAGCAGACTGGGCTCTGGTTTCAGACAGAGGGTGAAATAGAGGTGCTGCAGCACAGGCAGTATGAGAAGAATAAAGATATTTTTGAACATTAAAGCAAGGAGACATGTCACAGTAGACGCATACAATACAAATATGTACATGAAAGTAAGCATTATAGGGTCCGTTTAAGTGATTGGGGGGTTTCAGTTGCCTACATTTTTGTATAAGGAGGGGTATTAAAGCCCCTGCCCAAATAAAATTCTTGAAAATGTGTGTTAGCGTCTAAGCTTACCCCTCCTCAAGACAGTCATTCATAACGTTGCCTTCATAGGGAGTTTTCAGCAGGGTCCCCCAAGACAGGAGAACTGAGGTGGGCGTTACCGAGCCGATGACCAGGTGTAGCGGCTTCTGCAGTTCCACTTTACCTAAAAAACAAATGAAGATTTTACTTTTAAGTCCATGTCACTTTAAGGATAATGTTTTTAAATCAAGTGTTTTATTAGCATTACCTGTGCAATGCTTTTTCACATCATTGGTTGGGATGGGCTGGACGGCTATAAGGTATTTGGGTTCAGCATCTAAACACAGAAGAGGAACAAAATGTATGTTGTAGACACTCATCAATCTCTTTCAGCCATGACTAAAAGTATTACATTCAGTCAAATTAAAATGTGCATAAAAGCAACTTCTCATCTCTAGGTGGTTCTTTACAAAGGTATGTATCAATGGCTTTTCTTACCAAACTCAGTCTCGTACGGCTGTCCGTTTTCAGGCAGCTTAATAAACTGTTTGGAGAACATGCTGCTGCCGTAGCCCAGGATGTAACCCTCCAGCTTGGTGTCAGCGTTGGGACGCAAAAACTTCATAACGATGGTGTCTCCTGAGGCGTTGATCCGGACTTTCATGTTCTGACGTCTCACTGTGGAGGCAGGGGAGGAATCAATGTATCCATTAATTGTTGATTTGAGAGAAAATCACCACATGCAGGACATGGACATTTGCAAGAAGGCCTAAACGTTTCTGCACACTTCAGTCCATTGCTCATACTTTTATGACCAAACCAGGCTTCATGTCAATATGGAGCCTCATCACAGCAAATGTTTGACAAAAGGATTTTTCAGAGATTCTAATGACATCAAATAGAGCACTTCTTTGCTTTTTCATGCAAGTTTCCATGGGAAATGTAGTTTAAAATTATATATCTGAAGTTCAAGATATGAGCAACAAAGTCTCAAAAAGGGAGTATCAATCTATACGAGCAGCAACCATTGAATCACAAAACATATAACAAAGGATTAAAAGAAAGGAAATACTGCACAACAATGTGGAAACTGCAGTTCAAACAACCCTCAAACCAACTTCTTTATGTGTCTTTCTTCTATTTTAGTGGTTTAAAAAAAAAGAAAAGAATGAAAGCATGTGAGGAAGACTTCAAGTCAAAGCAGCTGTTGCTGTTTAAATTCTGCTGAGGCACAAGTTTTACTGAAAACTTATGATAATAACACTTTTTGTTGTGGATGTATGACTGGATGAGAACATGACTTGTATACATTCAGACTTTTATAGACAGTACACACATCTAGGATCTGCCACCACAAGCATAGTTAGCTGGAGCTTTCACTGTATACAGTATGTTATGTAAGTGGGAACAGGATACAGGTGTGCTTATAAAATGCATCTTCTGTTATTTTAAATGAAAAAGCATTGTTAAAATGAGAGGACAACTTGATCTTGTTGATTTGACAAGAAAACGGTATGATGTAATACTTTCTTAGTCTGTCTCTTCCACAGAAACACACTGAAGTCACTCTTCAAGAAACCACACATTTCTCGTAGAAATGGACTTGAACAGAATACAGTCCTAATCAGCCGAGTCTGGGGACAGATATTGGATGAGGAAAATAATCAACGGATGAATCATAGTAAACCAAAGCCAGCTTCACTTGCTCTGAGAATTCTGATCAGAGTAGTGGTAAGCCACTTGGCATTACGGTACATTTTTGTTTTGAATAATGGATGATTATAGAGTTTTTTCTTTCTAGTATTTTTTGTTCCGCTTCTACGCTTGTGCAAGATGCCATTCTTTACTATAGTAACATAGTTAGAGTCATTTGACTGTTTCTTGGATGTTTTAACTTGGTGAGGTAACCAAAAGTCCAATGCCCAATGAGCTATGACCATGAGCTTGCATGGTGCCGTAGAGGCAGCTTTTAGAGTCTATAAATCAAATAGCCTTGGTGTGATGGATGTATTAGCTTCACATTAAGGTTGATAGAAATGAGGGGTACATATTTGGCAAATGTTGGATGTAATTGTTATTGTAAATGTAGTTGACACCTTCCGAACGCACATAAACACAGACTGTTATCCCTTCTGGTTTATGTTAACTCTTAACTTCTGTGAATGATGCGAGTATAGTCACTAGACAAGCAGCTCTAGGTCTCTGCAAGAACAATGAATGGATGATTTGCTTATTTTCCACTCACCAATTGCTTCTATTATGTGGCCTTCGAAATGAGCCAAGAACAAGCCATGCTAACAATTATCTAGTTTGTTACAGGCATGCTAATAGACATCAGAAACTCAAAAGTGGGACTTAATTGTAAAACAAACAAGAAATAAAAACCTTTTTGTAGACTTGGCCGCTGATGGTAAGCAGTAAAAGAAAGATAGAAAAGCTTTTCAAATCAACACTGTTTGTATTGCATTTTGTGTGTTTTAATTCAACGATTGAAGCCCTTCATAAATCTAGATTGTAATAAGAGAAGACTCATACATTGTAATTATGTTTTCCATCTCTTTTTTAAGCAGTGGAAATCACCAATGAGTCTATAGGGGCCTAACACTACACCCTTCATAGTCTATGAGGCTACAAAAGATGGACTTTCTGCCTGGATTATGGCTCCTACTATACTCTCCACAGCAAGTCCCTGGCTCATATTTCAGCATTAAATGAAATAGTGGAACTTTTCATGAGGGATACTGCCAGCAGCTGCCAGACACCAAAGCAGACACTGACAGCGAGAGAGGGGGAAGCCCTGGATTTGAAAAATACCCTCATGCTTTCCCAGTGATATGTTTCCTATCAAAACTGCATTTGTTTTGATTCTTCCATCAATATTTCCGATATAACACGACCGACTTTGGCTCAGACGGAGAGGGGCTCAGAGCGTTTGAAACATTAGGAAACTTTTGGCAACTTGAGCTAAACTCCAGTACAAGCAAACACTGGCTGAGTCCCACGACAGCCTATCCAGAGCCCGGCCATTTGGCCCACACACTGCTTAGGGACTGTAAAGACTAATCAGTATTTCCAAAGAAAAATTAATAAAACTTTAGGAACAAATCCAGTCACAGTCCTGATAATCAATCAGCTACAAAACAGAGGAAAACTATTGACAGGAATAAAGTTGCTAAGCTACAAAGTCATCTTGTGTATGTTTGTGTGGATGAATATTGAGCAAAACATTGAGAATAGGATAACACATGTTCCTGAGAGGCTGCACTGCCTGTGACTCTGACATTTGAACACATGAGATCAGTGGACATGTACAACCTCATCAAAAGACATGTAACCTATGTAATTGAATCCTAAATCCAACCATTACTGTAACAAACATTGATGGATTAGAAAGTAGGCTTACACCGGGTGAAAAATAAGCCTTTGTTTCACTTGACTGTCAACATTGTTGATAGAAAGTCAATGGAACAATCACAAAAAGATGCAAAATGCCAACTAAGAAACGCAAAAGACCAGTAAGAGATGCAAAGAAATCACAATTTGACTTAGAGCAGCAAACAACCCAACATAAATCTGTTTTAATAAAAGAATATATTACTTCATCTGTATGTTATGTAGAAATGGTGTCAGATTCTGCGGACAGCATCACAAATGCCATTCCGCCTCACATACTTACACAGTATTTGAATGTCGTGTACTGTAAATCTCATAATGAAGACAAATCGTTTCAATTAAAACATCATGACATATTCGGTCTGCAGAGAATATAACCAATTCATCCACGATTACTGTACCAAATCCATCAAATCGCCCGGAAGTCAGCCAATAAACATGTCAGATTAGGCGGTAAACAAAGCCACATCATTCAATAAACATTTCAACATTGCATTTTTCCTGTTTTGGGCCTAATAGCTAGAGGATGTAATCCCGCTGGCTTGGAAAGCAGAAACACCTACCAACTGGAAACTGAATCCTGGCTCAGCGGAGCGGAGCGGCTATCTGTGATCATCAGCATGATGGATGATCCTCCAGAAAAGGGAGTAGGTTAATTGGGTTGTCAGCAAAACACTTCACTCACTTTGCACGGCTGTGAAACATGATATTTATATGTCTGTTTGGTGTTGGGAAATCAATATGAAAACAGTCCTCGTGCATGTGCAAACAACAATAAGTCCTGATTTATTGTCTGACATTATCAAACCGCAGAATTCCTCTATTGGCAGCTATCGAATTCCCCTCTGTCTCTCTTGGTTCACATGTGGAGGAGTGCATCAAAGTAAACACTCTGAAAATAAAAACACTAAGATCATGTCAAGACTTTTCCACTCATGCTGATGTGTGAACTAATACACTATAAATATCTAAAGCAAAGCCTCAAAGGAGAAAAGAAAACCGCTCGGAACAACTCTACAAGGCTTGTTTTGTTTTCAAAATGTGCAATGGAAAAGAGGTTTTCCGTTACTTGTTGAAATGAGTGCGGTTATTTTGGTGGTGACACAGAATCATGAAGTCATGTCAGTTTTCCTCGAGCAGCTGAACATCACAGCTGAGCTCTGCAGCCTGTAAATCCCCCTGACTAAATGAGGGTATAAACTCCTAATATTGGTGCAATATATCCGCCCTACAAGCAACACACACTTTCAATTAAACTGACTTTAGATGGCACCTTTCCTGAGTGATTTTACGCAGCTCTGGGGTCCAGTATTTCAGCCTCTCAGGTTTCTGTCCTGGAAAAGGAGAGGTGAAAGGGGAGACTTGGCTTCCAGCTCCTCGGAGGCTGTTTTATGGCCCCTTGGTGAAACAGTCACCTTCATTTAAGGCAATGAAGTGTGAAAATCTCTCTGAGCTCCGTGCCAGCCGGAGCACAGAGGGTTGAAATCATTTAGTTGGTGAGCGAACGACAGCTGAACTGACCTATACAGTATAATCTCCGATGGGAATATCCCTTACTAAGTCCTCTGAATACACGTCATGCAGCCTCTTTGATCCCGCCCTCTGGTATGAAGCATGTCATTGGTTCACAAGAGGCCTCACCTTGCAGCCCAGTGGGAAACAGTCGTCCCTGGGATCGTTCTCCAACATTTTCCCTCCACCTTGGCAGCTTCCATGCAGGTCCCCCCGCTCTCACACAATAAATCCCCCCCTGTCAAACTCAACAGAGCAACAGCTGTTTTCCCCTCCCTCGTGGCAACGCTCCATCCCATCCCTTTCCTCCTTCACTCAATCTTCGCTGTCCTTTATGTGTCAGCGACCATCTTTCCATCAACCTGATCCTTGTTTGACTTCCTAAAGTGATTTGAATGTATCTCTCTTGTCCTCTTATCTCCTCTCATATTTCCTTCTCATTACTGTAATCTGTACATGACATGTGGCCATGTTTTATCTGGCTCAGCAGCAGTTTCCAGGACATATATTGTTGTGAAGGGGTAGTGCTAAATCATTTTTGGTATTGGATTGAAATGAGTATTAAAGGAAATTAAAAGCCTTGGGAGTTATAGATCATCCAAATGTATAGACTTGTCAAATGTGATACCTTCTGGTGTATAATCCTACAGTATCTATGACATAAGAAAGCATACACTCATTGCATAACATGTTTTTTTTACCCCCAAAACCAGGGCCTTGATCCAAGAAGAACAGAGATACAGACGTTCAACCTTCCTTCCAAAGCAAAAACACACACTTTCCTTTCATCTGGCTCCCAAAGTTGCACACTGAGAACGGTCCGCACGCCAAGTTCAGCCGGCCAGTTACACACTGGAAGCAGCCTCTTTCTCCACCTCTTCAACTATCAACTCCAGTCAGCTCACCTCAAATCTCTTTTACCATCATCAAAAGTCTTAAAAGGGATGCCAAGTTTAACCCGCAAAACAGATCATGGCTGCGAAGCATACAGTGGATAGCCAGGGTTCAGTGTGTGTGTGAGTGTGAGTGTGAGTGTGAGTGTGAGTGTGAGTGTGAGTGTGTGTGTGCGTGTGTGTGTGTGTGTGTGTGTGGATACAGCAGTGAGATAATGAGACAATATGAAAAATGTTTGTGGAAAATGTTCTGCTTCCCAAGGATGTCGTGAGAATCATAATCAGATAAAGGCTTAATACGTTATAATCTCCTTATTAAAGTGCGTCTGTCTTTCCTTTAGGGCATGTGGCGAGGGGGGCAGGGAGGGCAGAAACTATATGTTTACTGCTTTGTTGTGGTTTATTTGCAGGTTGTTTTCTAAAAAGATCCATTAACAAGAGCTGCAATGTGTATCAAACAAAAGAGGCAGTTAAAAAATGTTTTCCCAGAGGCGATGATTGAAAATAATTAGCCGACTTACAAACTCTTCAGATCCCCTGCATGGTGGGCAGAGTTCGAGGAATGCCGTCCCACCATGTTGTCTACAAGTCTAACCCCTGACCCCCTACCTGGAAACACTTTCATTACAACCTGTGAGAAGCAGTAACTGATCTATTTCACTGTGTCTGCTCAGCTCGTTTCAGGGAAATATGGATAAACCACGGGGATCGTAAAAACCCTGCTTTCTAATAGAGGCAGGGCTCAAGAGCGGAAAGCTCATTTTCCGTTAAGGGTTTAAGGTTCAACAGCAGAAGTCAGTATCAAATCCACTTATATTGAACATGACTTATTTCAATGAATCCCCTACTGGGTCTGTTTAGTTGTGCAGGGGGACACAAACTGCTGAGAATTTATTGCACTTGGTGCAGAAACAAGTCACAATATACAAGGACACTTAACACTTAAGAACTATAACTCACTGAAACAGTTAAAACACAGTGGGGTTCATTTCTTTGCAAGTTTGCTAAGGAAATAATATGGTACATTACTCTTCAAACAAAACCTTGGAATGACAAATAAAATCAGACTCCCTTAACTCCCTTCTTCACTATTTTCAAAGCCAAGTGTGGTAATCACAAAAATGTGTGAGGGAAAGAGCTAAGCTCAATTATTTTTGTGTGTGTTTTGGGGGATTTCTGCATCAGAAGCTGCCAACTTTCTTTATGATGTTACAAACGACATGTGTCAAACTGTATCCATCACTTTGCAGAAACTGGTTACCTCGATATGGTTATAAAAAGCACTTTCTCTTGTCATGTATCCTTAAAACACATATCAATCTTAGTAACTATGACATATTCTCTCTCCAAGGGTATCCCAGCATGCATTTGGCCGAAGGCAGAGAAAGACATGGAACAACCATCAGTGCATCAAAGGGCTAAAACACAAGGACAATTACACTAATGTTCAATTTCACTTGCAAGGACCCACACGCAGAGAAGACTAACAACACACCCCTTCACGTGCATTCAATAGTCATGTGGATTTCTCAGTGGAAGACATTAACTCTGATGCAGGCCTGACCTACCTCTGCTCCTGCGGGGCGTCGAGGGGACAGAAAGAACTATCCCAGCGATGAAGACCAAGAGAAGAAGGACCAGAAAGCTGTGTGAGTGTTGCTGCATCCCCATCCTCATCTCTGCTGTGTTGTCTCTGCGTCTCAGGTGTAAAGCTGTCAGTGATCTGAATCAGCTCAGATCAGGAATAAGAGAAGCTGTCACTCCTTGCTGATTGGATGAATCGAACAGGTTGAGTTATTGTGAGTCTGGTTGGGCGTCTCTGGAGTGGCTGGACTACTTCTCTGAGCTGGTGGTCTCAGGACTAGTGCAGCTCTCTGGACTGTCTCCTGGCTGCCCTGCACCATCTATACCGCTATAATGGAGGGAGGGGACAGACAGAGTCAGACACACACCCACTCCCATTACCCTCCCCCATTTTCTTTCACTCTCCATCCCAAGCTCTTTTTTCTCTGGAAAAGGGGTGAGTTTTCTCTAAGCCTCCCGCCCTCCTCTGTCTTTTTTTCTGTTCTCTTTTTTTTTTTTTTTTAAGTCTGGTGTGTCCTCAGCAATCCTACTTTCCATCTGCAGAGGCCTTTTGACACTTTTCATTGTTTCTTTCTCTCCTTTTCCTAGCTTGTCTCACACTGAGCACTCTAAGTTCCCTGTTTTGCTACTCTGGAAAACAGATTTGCATGGAAGAAATCTGGTTTTACAATATTTTTTACATTTTCACTTTCTTCAATATCTGCACAGAGCACAAAGCACTTAGCTTAGGTCAGTTTTGATATGCCATTACAAGGTTAGGTTATAGGAAACAGGCTTGGGAAACCGCTAATGGAAAAGTGAGCATTTATTAAATAGACTTTGGTGTTCTGCATGAAACTCAAATCTGCTAGACACCCATTCACCACCATGACATCTGCAACCTACTTCCTGGCTGCATGTCTGTATGTTGACACTGGACGTACATCATGAAGTGCAGATTTGATCAATAATATAGTTTTCCTTCAAGCTAACTTTTTTTGCTTGATTGATATGACATCCATTTAAATATACTGTACAACACTGTTTTGCTAACTGTCAACTACTTACCCAAAGGATGCATCTGCACACATTGCAGACGAAGGTATTCACATACACGTTATCCTGGTTTCTACTGTTCTCCAGCTAGAACTACAGGACTATAGGACTACAAACTTGCAAAAGCACACAATAGACAAGACACATTTCACACAGGGAAACAAGAGATCATAAGAGAGAATGAGGCAATAAACCGCAGACAATATGCAATGTGATACAGTAAGTGCTAAAGATGTGTGTATTGATGGAAAAAAAAAAGTCTTATCCAGGTTTCTGAATCCATGATTCATTGTTTACACAGACAAACCCTGGGATACTCAAAACAAATTAAATCGCCTGCAAACACATGCACCCTATTACTGTGTGCATGTATAGGGGGGTTTATAATGAGGAATGTGTGCCAATTTTGTTGTTCTTTACAAGCAACAACACACATACAGAGCAGTGCATATCTTTCTTTTCCTTCCCCTTTAACCAAACCTCTATCTTAGCCTGAATCTCAACCTACAGCCAAGTTATGAACTAAATATAAGCTGTTAAAGTTGGGAGGGCCAAAGTTTGGGTCCCTAGAAAAGGCAAGTCCATGCAGCATGCACAACTCCAGATTTATGTCCCCACAATGCCATATAAAACGAACACATGCTTTAGTCAGGAGCATATGAAGACTAATTGGAACAGTCACATGGGCTGTGTGTATCCAAAAAGTTATGAGTGTACAGAGAATGTCTGCCATTATATTCCATGGAAACAATGTCTCTCATTATCTGATCCATAAATATATTCCCTGCCAATGACAAAAGACACATTAACATCACATGCAGCGCAGATCAGCTCAGGAAAACATGGCATTTGTAGCCATGTGTCGCACACTTCTACATGACTCTCTGGTGCATCGCAAACACATGCTGGCTGTGTTGCATCATGGGCTTCCTTTGAAGTCAAACTAATGGTATATGAGTGTTTGTGTTTCCTAGAGTAGTTTTATCCATGGTCAGCCAAAAGTCTCAGCCAGAACTCGGGCTTACTCGGGGGGTGTGTGCAATTTTGCAAGGCCCACACGTCCGCTTGCACGTGTGTGTGTGTGTGTGTGTGTGTGTGTGTGTGTGTGTGTGTGTGTGTGTGTGTGTGTGTGTGTGTGTGTGTGTGTGTGTGTGTGTGTGTGTGTGTGTGTGTGTGTGTGAATACTCCAACATCTCCGCCCTCCAATGCAATTGATTGTACTCTACATGTCTTCACACGAGACAGGAAATGTTGTCGCGCGCCAAAGGAGGTGTGTCTCCAGAGGAAGTCCCTGAACAGATTGTTGCAGTGGAACCCCGGCCTCCATCACGCCAGAACACATTAAACACAGATGAATCATAAAGAGCATTCTGTAAAAACGATAACGAAAGGAAAACATTCGGGGTGTAACCAATGGGACCAAAACTGCTTGCTGATGAGATTTGTTTGTGTACGAAGTCAAGGTAATTGTGATGAGGGAAAACACTGTAGTTAAAGAAAGCCATGTTAATGCCTCACTATTGTTTTGTTTTTCTTTTGTACTTCTTCTGTGCTAAATTCAAGAGGGATTCTTTGAACTTTTGACTCTTTCAGAATTAGATTATACATATAAACTATAATAAAATACGATGTATTGTTAAATATTAAACCGGGGATTCCCAAGTTTTGGTGTGTGACCTCTCCCTCCAGATGTCTCAGACTCCCCCTCTAAACTTTTCAGATGGTTTCATTTAAGAAACGGTTTGATTTCCAAAGTAGTAAAATTGTCCCAACTTTTCAAAAAGAGGGTTAAAATAGGAAAACTGAAATATTGATTTTTGTAGTAGAACTTTGTTTATTTTCTCCTTCGTTTATCATCTCAGCACCCTTCAGATTGTTGTGGACCCTTCGGAAGAACCCAGCCGTACATTAGTAACTAAACTGCCAAACTGTGTACATTTTCTCATTGGGTTATTGGTACTTTAGTACATTACTCGAGCAGGTCTTCCATCATTACTTTACAAAATAAAGTATTCAAAAACAAAACAGATGTCAGGTTTCCAAATTGTGTTGTTGCAGATTAAATCAGTGGTTCATTTCTTGTTACCCTTTGGAACCCTGAGGTTTTTATTGAAAAAATGTGCATGTCCAAGAAACGTAACTCCTGTTGCAGAAAGCAAAGCATGCTAAGAGCCCTTCCATATAAGGCAGGGAGGGGACAGGACCTTTTTTTAACATTTGAAATACATGATTTTTTTGAGGCTCTTTTTTATAATTTGGCTGAATTTTTCCTGTCTTTGGTTTTCCTCTATTTGACGTGTTGCCTGATCGCGTCCATTCTTCAGTATTCTACAGTGAAGGAATACATGTGTTCAAATTCATATTTGTTATTTTTATAACTGATTTTATAACCAAGATACTTTTAGTCTATAGATACTGGCAACATGTTCTGCCTTTCATCTCTTTCACTCACACTTCTCTGTCTTTGATCAGAATCATTCACCTTTGAAAGATGCGTAGGTTTGAGGAGAAAGACTTAGACTCAGATTGTTTTATTGCTTTTCAACACATCCTCAGCTACACCTGCAACATGCGGCACACAGCCGGAATATTGTGATGGGGATGGGTAAAAGAAAATGTTTTAAGTCATCTGTTTTCGTTTTTAGTCTTCTGTTTATGTGCATGACAGTTTCCGATAAGTTGATGATACTGAAGGAAACAATGGGAGGTTCTTATCCAAAAGATTAAAGCCCCCTTCGTTCCCTGAAGAAAGATCACCTTTACAAAATCTGAATCTGACATGTTAAAAGATCATGACTTTTGCATCATCCTGGATTCCTTCTTCCAGTAGGTGCAGGCGATTGGAAAATGTTTGCTGCTGCGGGCCAAGAGCAGAAGGTCCTTCACGGCTCAGTCAAGTGTGCAAGTCTCCTCACCAGGACTGGTTGTGATTTTGAGTATGGAAAAAGACAATAATTTAGATATTTTTCCACTCACTTTTTCCAATCTTCTGATGCCATGAATGGAGTGGCTTATTAGGTTACAGACTTCCATACCAGGTCTGAGCAGTTTGAGGATGAAAATGTTGCAGACATATATTCTTTCGTACTATACTCATGCCTCCCTATAGAAAATCATGTGCCTCTGTACATCAGACCGTTTCTATATGAACTATATACTGATGCATATACTGAAAGTATGCCTCTGACTTCTGACACGGCTCCGATTTTGGAAATGTATTATGTGCCTGTCAGGATGTGTGGTAGTGCAGCAAGTCTGGTTTTTCTGCCAGATAAACGGGCCCAACTCTGCATTCTGAAGAAAAGTGGAAAATATGATGTATGGAAATATTCTTCCAAATATTCACAGTTTCTAAGAGGTCAAAGGCTCAATTGTGTTTCACTTGTGCATCCATTATGTGATCACACGCTTTCTTTTTCTTGTAGATAATTGCAGATCGCTCTGTCAAGTTGCTGATAATAATATTAAATCATACATTTCAAAATCACAGAATTTCTTGGATCAGCTCTGAGGATTACTTCATTGCTGATTACTGTAACAGTCGTGGTTGCTGCTAAATAACTACACAATGTTAAAACTTCACATGCTCACAGGTGAGCAACATCTGTGCAACTTTCTGCATCTACGGAATATTTTTAAAAACGTCCAAAAACGACATACCAGTCAGTTCTTTACACAGGCCAGGACCGATAATTCCTTTGTGAAAATGAGAACTACAACTGCAATATGATGACGTTTGATAGACAGGCCAGTGTTATTGCCAACTGCCATGTGGCAATCAGCAAATCTTTCTTTTCTGGAAAGCCCACAGGGACAGCAGTATTGTGGATGATGAAGCAGAAGGATTTAGGGGGACAGAGAAAAGAGACAAATATAATTCATCAACTCTAAATTTGTCTCAGAGAGCACAAGAGAGCGACCAAAAAGCTCAATGTGGTTCTCATTTTGTGTGCCTTTCTTTGTATATTTTTGGTGTGCACGCTCACTGTGCCTGTGCAAGCGTGCATACTTTATGTATGCAAGGGTGCTTAACGGGATGGATCCTCCATCTGAAAGATAAATAACCACATTACATGGGAGGATCAGGCGTAAAGCTTAGAGCTGACAGCAGATAGGATACTAGACAAATCCATGGGCATTAAGCAAGAATCTGGCTCTGATTTGCCGATACAAAACACACAGATGTCTGCATCATAACTTTTTACACACTTTCCACACTGCTACTGCACCGTTATTATACTCTCAATATTTTAACAACTTGCAATGAAAATGTGCAGACTGGCCTCTGTTACACATGCTCTTCTTTCCTTAAAAGACAAAGAAATATTTGTCATGGTAATGTTTGTCTGTGTCTGCTGAAGGCAAGGCAAGTCAAGGCACATTACTTATATAATACACAACCCAGTCTCACGGCATTTCGTGTTATAGTCACGAAATTAATTTAATCTATTGATTCGTGTTCACCAACACGATCTATTTTTTTCGTGTCACACAGAACGATTTTAAAAGCAATGTATTTCTATTGGTAGTATGTTTCGTGCCTGCACCACGTCTTTTTGTCCGGTCGGGTCTTGGAAGACCAGAAGCTGTGTGGTTCATAAAAACATGTTCTTACTCAATATCTTACCCTAAGCCTAACCCTATCC